TTTAATGGACCCTAAACCTAAACTAAATTATAATTCATTTGAAAGCCTTGTTCTTAGTCTTTCTCACCCAAACTGGAAAACACTGCAGCCAGTTCTATTTGTTATAGTGTACCGCGCTCCTGGACCGTACTCTGATTTTATATCTGAATTTTCAGAGTTTCTATCAAGTTTAGTCCTTAAATCAGATAAAGTAATTATTGTAGGTGATTTTAATATTCATGTGGATGTTGACAATGACAGCGCTCTTCCAAATTATCAGAATATCGCTCAAATTGGCAAGATAATCTTAAAATGTATAGAAAGGCCCTCCGTAATGCCAGAGGAGCCTATTACTCAGCACTAATAGAAGAAAATAAGAATAACCCTAGGTTCCTCTTCAGCACTGTAGCCAGGCTGACAGAGAGTCACAGCTCTATTGAGCCACATATCCCCATAAAATTAAGTAGCAATGACTTCATGAGCTTCTTCTATAATAAAATCATTACTATTAGAGAAAAAATTAATCACCAACTGCCATCAACAGTTATCAGTGGCTCTCCAAGTTCAGGGACTTCTGTCAATGTAAACTTAGATATATATTTAGACTGTTTTTCTGCTATCGATCTTCATCAGTTAACTTCAGTCATTTCTTCATCGAAGCCATCAACTTGTCTATTAGACCCGATCCCAACTAGGCTGCTTAAAGAAGTTGTTCCCTTAATTGGCACTTCTTTACTGGATATGATTAATCTTTCTTTATTATCAGGATATGTACCACAGTCCTTTAAAGTAGCTGTAATTAAACCCCTTCTTAAAAAGCCCACTCTTGACCCAGGGGTTTTAGCCAACTATAGACCGATTTCTAACCTCCCCTTCCTCTCTAAGATTCTGGAGAAAGTAGTCGCCAAAGAGTTGTGTGAATTTCTACATAACAATAGTTTATTTGAGGATTTTCAGTCAGGATTTAGAGTTCATCATAGCACAGAGACAGCTCTGGTTAAAGTTAATAATGACCTTCTGACTGCTTCTGACAATGGACTTGTCTCTGTACTTGTATTATTAGATCTTAGTGCTGCATTTGACACCATTGACCATAATATTCTTTTAGAGAGACTTGAGCATCAAATTGGCATTAAAGGAACCGCACTAAGCTGGTTTAAGTCATATTTATCAGATAGCTCACAGTTTGTACATGTTAACGATGAATCTTCAATAAATACTACAGTTAGTCATGGAGTTCCACAAGGTTCTGTACTTGGACCAATACTATTTACTTTATATATGCTCCCTTTAGGCAACATTATTAGGAATCACTCCATTAACTTTCACTGTTATGCAGATGATACGCAGTTATATCTATCAATCAAACCCAATGAAATTAATCAATTATCTAAATTACAAACATGTCTTACGGACATAAAATCCTGGATGACCTGCAATTTTCTGATGTTAAACTCAGAAAAAAACGAAATTCTTGTTCTTGGCCCCAAAAACCTTAGAGACTCACTGTCTAAAGATATAGTTACTCTAGATGGCATTAACTTGGCCTCTAGCACCACTGTCAGGAATCTTGGAGTTATCTTTGATCAGGATTTGTCATTTAACTCCCACATAAAGCAGACCTCTAGGACTGCCTTCTTTCATTTACGTAATATTAGAAAAATTAGACACATCCTATCACAGACAGATGCAGAAAAACAAATCCATGCATTTGTTACTTCAAGGCTGGATTACTGCAACTCTTTATTATCAGGTTGCCCCAATAAGTCCATTAAAACGCTCCAATTAATTCAGAACGCTGCAGCACGAGTACTGACAGGAACTAGAAAAAGAGATCACATCTCTCCTGTACTAGCTTCTCTGCATTGGCTCCCTGTAAAATGTAGAATTGAATTTAAAATCCTCCTCCTCACCTATAAAGCTCTTCATGGTCAGGCCCCTTCATATCTTAAAGAGCTCATAGTACCCTATTACCCCTCTAGAACACTACGTTCTCTGAATGCTGGGCCATTTTTGGTTCCTATAGTCTCTAAAAGTAGAACAGGAGCCAGAGCCTTCAGTTACCAAGCTCCTCTCCTGTGGAGCCAGCTTCCAGTTGTGGTTCGGGAGGCAGACACCCTCACCACATTCAAGAGTAGGCTTAAGACATTCCTCTTTGATAAAGCTTATAGTTAGGGCTGGATCAGGTGAGTCCTGAACCATCCCTTAGTTATGCTGCTATAGGCCTAGACTATCGGGGGATTTCCCATGGTGCACTGAGCTCCTCCCTTCCTCTCTCTTTCTGCACTCATTCATGTTCCATTTATGCATGTTACTAACTTCACTTCTTCCCCGGAGTTCTTGTGCTTTCTCGTCTCGCAGGTTCTTGTCGATCCTGGTGGAGCCTCCTGCCATGGTCCTGCTAGATTGCCGTTGCCAATACTGTTGTTGCTATGCACCTGTCGTCTGTCTGTCTCTCGCTCTCTCTCTCTCTGCCTCTCTCTGTCTCTCTATCTCTCTCTCTCTCTCTCTCTCTCACCCCAACTGGTCGAGACAGACGACCACCCACCTAGAGCCGAAGGATCTGTCCTAGGTTTCTGCCTTTTAACAGGCAGTTTTTCCTTGCCCTTGTCGCCAAGTGCTTGCTCATGGTGGTACTGTTGGGTCTCTGTAATTAATGTTAAAGAGTTCGGTCTAGACCTGCTCTATTTGAAAAGTGTCCTGAGATAACTTCTGTTATGAATTGGCGCTATACAAATAAAATTGAATTGAATTGAATTGAATTGAATTAGTCAATTGGCATGGTCACTCAGATATCTACAACATGTCTACCACGTGTGGTTGCAGTAGCACAAAGTATTCAGTTGTAATTTAAGCCTGGCCCATAGCATTTGAGTAAACTTTGAAGGCCAACTATGGAATATCAAAGATTTAAAATAATAACTCTTGTCATTTTGACTATTTCTCAAACTTTGTAGGAGTAGCAAAAACAAAGATTTGTTTCATAGACTTACGGTTCATAAAATTAACATTGTGACTCTATTCAAAACAGCCTACTATAAAAAAGGATGTACTAATTCGGCCAAAATGGAGCATGTATTATGCAGTATGCAAACAAAAGCAAAATCTGCAGTCTACCTGGATGTCGTACTGATTTGGAAAAAAAAATCTACCTCATTGTGTCCCATGGGGCTGTGGCTCAGAGGCAGAGCAGGTCATCCACTAATCAGAAGGTTGTTGGTTCGCTCCACGGCTCCTCCCACCATGTGTCGAACCATGTCAAGCAAGATACTAAACCTCAAATTGCTCCAGATGCTGTGCATCTTTCTGTTCAATGGGCTTTGTCGTCACTGTGTGAACGTGTGTGAAAGGGTGTGTGGCAGGTAGTAATATATAAGCACTTTGAGTGATTGGAAGACTAGAAAGGCGCTATACAAGTACAGGTCCATTTACAATGCAAAGTGCCAGAAGAATGACCAAAAAAAACAGTCAGACCAAGAACGTGACTTTTTTTTCTTCAAATTTCATCACTAGTTCATCTACAGCAACAATGTCAGACCCACAACTATCATTTAATTTTTTCCGTATCGGTACTGTTATTGTGTCACATTTCTGTCCACACATTACATTTGCAATGTAGTAATGCGACAAAACATTGGTTCCTTTAAATTGTCAGATAGGTGTTACCCGTCTCTCAGGTAAATGTTTATCTTTGGGAAAATCTTGAAAATTCTCTCCAAATTCATAGCTTAATTTATCACTCTTTTTTTATTTTTTAAAGCATGGGATGCTAGACAGATGCAGTGGATTAACCATGCTATTACTTAAGCAAAACTTCCCAAAACTTGAAATGGCTGCGCCTGGCCTAGCATAGTGCAAAATAAATACTTTTCTATTTATTTATAGTTTTTAAAGTAACAGGGATAGCGCACATTAATAACCATTTCTGTAAATGTTTTTTTTTGGGCAGGTGTAATGACAGCTACAAAAGACACATAAAACACATTAAACAGGAACAGCAATACTTTGCATATAGCACAGCACACTCCATAAAAAACACATAAACCACATAAAAACAAGGACAACAATACATAAAACAAACAACAAAGCATGCTTCAACTTATTTAGTTGTTATGGAGTTAATTATGGAGTATGGTCACACACTTGATTGTCCTTCAATCATGATTTTACAGTGTTACATTGTTACAGTGATATGTGTTACAATGCAGTGTGTGTTACATGCATTTGTCAGTACGATGTAGTAGGCTGTTTTGAATGCAGCCATTATCATATAAGAACATGTGTCATTATTTTACAATAAACTTTCATACATTCCTCATAAAAATTTTAATGTGGCTTTTGAATGGGTGATATGCATATTGCGCTTACGAACAGGGTAAAACAGGGTCAAAAACACAATCAAGAACTGAACATTTGCTTTCTTTACTATAAAATAGTTACACAATAGAAATTACTTGTCACTCACTACATAACTACACATGTTAAGGCTTTATTTTTATGTATATATTATTTTATGTATGATACGTACTGGAAAACTGTACAAATGCATATCCTGGGGAATACTTTGTTATTTCTGCTTTAGTGAGTGTTTGCTGTTTGTTTTTTGCTTAGTGTGTGATTTGTCAGATAAAGCAGTTTCTTAGGGACATCACCATATCATCCATGCAGACAAGGAAATCAAAGTTAACCATACAGATGGCCAACTTTGTGACAGCAGGGGGGTTGACACCATAAGGGGGGCCGGGAAAAGTCAATCAAATCCTTAAAAGCATAAAAATAAGGAGTCTCTGTGGTGCGCAGGTAGCACGCTTCTTGAAATGCACGTCACCCTCCTGTGATTTGTGGCACGGCAGTAACGCTCCGCTCTGGCTTATCCAATGTACTGTGAAGTAATGAAGACTCTGTATGGAAACTGTCTCTGTCACATCAGTCTGTCAGACAAGTCCCAAGTGAAATAGTACCTGTTTCTCTAGACACAGCACCACATACAAACCATTGCCTTCTCTTGTTTCTGCTTACAGCATGTCCACGTCCATGTGCTGCCCAGGAAGGTGGGGGACTTTGAGCGGAATGACAGCGTATATGATGAGGTAAGATGGCATCCTAACTGATTGAATGACATCCTGTATCTGACCTACACTGCCCTTGGATGGACTGCCATTTTACTCATTGTCACACCATAAACAGATAGAACAGATGAACTGAAGAACCTTTGTCTATGAGATTTCCAGTTATCCACATCAGTACACATTTAATAGTACTAAGTAAAGGCACTGGGACTGAAAAATGTTTTCCTGCTGAAGGCCCATGTTATAACATAGCAGTGTGTATTTCACCTTTAGTTATTTTCATATACAGGTTTGAAGCTACTTGATTTGGAATTGGAATTGTTGAACTTATTTTTTCTCTGGTCATGGTATTAACACTGAAGGATCTTATGAGAAATCTACTTCTATGAACTGAGAGTCTATTTATTCAGCTTGCCTAATCAAGATAAACCAATTCATTGATAGATCATGAAAATCTAAAGGTGCGAAAGTCGGCGAGGGCTCAGGCCACCATTTGGGACGCAGAGAATCAATGTCAGATGCAGAATGAGGAAGAATGGTTTCAACTCATAACATTTAATAAAGACTCCAGGAATCCATGTGTACACTTCCTTGGAAATGTTATGCAAAAAATATATAAGATTAATATTGAGGTTGCACACATGCTCTGTGGAAACCTCATAAGCTACTTGCGGCTAGGTCCCCTGCATTACCCCTGGTCCAGACAGCAGGCATGAGCACTGTGTGTACAATACAATAAAAACCTTGTTAACACATGAATGGATTCTGTGACCCGGAAACGATAAAGAGTGTTTATCCTAAAATAGATACAGGAGGTGTTAGGTAGTGAAATGGTAAATTGACCTGTACTTGTATAGCGCCTTTCTAGTCTTCCGACCGACAAGCGCTTTTACACTACATGCCACAGTCGCCTTTTCACACACATTCACAAAGCGATGGCAAAGCCCATTAAACAGAAACTAATGCATTCATACACATTCACACACCGATGCACAGCATTGGGAGCAATTTAGGGTTCAGTATCTTGAATGACACCCTTGGCGAAACCCCCCCGCAATTAAAAAAATAATAATCTGTGTTTTATTATAACAACATAAGTGAAGCAGAGAATTATATTTCTCAATTGCACAAATCCTTCAGCAGAACAATTGGATTTATCTATTGCACTTGGAACAGGAAACACACTTTATAAGGTGCACAATCTCCACCTCCAACATTGCCAAAAGAGAATGAACACAATTCTGCACAAAATATGACAGTATAAGTTATCAGAACTTAGAGAACCTTGGTGACCACATAATCGTTTTGTATTATCTATTTTTGTTAGCCATTTCATACAATTCAGAAAAACAAAAATGTGCACAAACTATAGGCCTGTATTTATTATATTATGAATGAAATGGCGTTATTTGGTAGAAAGTTGAGGTGTGACTGACTTACAGTGGATCCCCCGTTCCCCCGCCCCCCTTCTCCTTCTCACACAGCTTCTGTGCACGGCACCTTTTCAGCAAGCAGGGGCGCTTGCAGCTGTAGGGGGCGCCAATTTGCCAATTCCCCACACAGTGATATGATAGAACAGATAGATAATAGAAAACCACTTTGCGGCGCAGAGGATGCCCGCTTCGCCCATGCCCAAAACCGTTACTGGATATGACTATAAAGAGATCATTTTCACTGTATTCTTTTGCTGGGAATAGGCAAAACCACAACGCTCTAGTGAAGTGTCTCTGCTGCCACAGTGGAAATAGCTGAGGTACCCCGTGTGGCTGTTCTAGCTTGTTAACATGGGGTGCCGAAATAAAAATCAATACATTCTGCGATGCAGATGCACTGTAGTCGCAGGCAGTGTGGACCGGCCTTTAGAATTAGCTGTTTTTATCTACATAGAAGTTCCTCTAATACGGAGTCCGAACCACCATGTTGTACCATGTACCTTGATTAACGGTTTTAGGCTTGTTACTGCATGAAGTCCAACACTCTATTCCTGTCAATACCATGGGCACATTAGTAACCTCTTTGGTTTTAAAGTTAATGCTCACTTTAGGCAATCACCCAGTTTACCTTCGCCCCTAGTAGGCAATAAATAAATGAGCAAAAATAACAGTGGATCCGTTGATCTGTCAGTACTGGCATTGTTCTTGACTCCTGTGTGTTTCTGCAGGAACACAATTCACTGCTAATGAACTGATTCACCTGTGGCTCCTAATAACTTTAATTAAACATCTGAGAGATGATTTTGAACAAATATCAGCAGGCTCTACAGCCCCCAGGAGCCAGAATCTCCAAACCAATGAACCACAACTCTTCAATAAAAAAATAATGAACATGCCTTTCAGGCTGTTTTAAATTTCACTGTGACATTTAGAATTTGTAACAAGAGAGTCTGTAGCAAATGAATATCAATAACTGGTGAGTTTGATATGAATATTCTAATAACCACATCTAATAAAAAGAACTTCACTATACTTCCTCTTGGTGCCTGAGGCGAGGAATGAAACGTGCAGTTCCACAGCAGAGTCCCAGCAGCAAAATATAAATAGGTTTGTTTTTAATTTGCATGTGATCATAAGGGTTATTGTGAGAGCAGCAGCACCGCCACCATTTATATTTTCCATGTCACACCCAGCAAATGAGAACATTTTTCTTTGAGGTGTTTTTCTATACTGTGAATAATCACCCAGTGTTTGTTCCCCTCATACCTTACCACTGTTAAGTGGTTTATATCCCAGATTTAACACATTTATTTGTTCATAAAGACTATTTAAGAGGCAATAGAGCAGGTGAAGCCCTTTTCTCTCTACATTGTAAAAAGGGGAGAAAACACAGGCAGCTGCTTACAATCTAACTCAGTTTTGAATGTTCACAGCTCAATGTGTTAGTGTTAAATTTCTTTCCATTTCTGACTTAGAATTTTGTCCAATTTGAAACCAAAAGTTAAAGTTGACTTCTTTTAAGTTACGTAACCTACATAACTTAAGTTATGTAAGGTACATACCACCTTGCAATCTTTTCATGACAAAGTTGTTTTTGTGCCTAAACTTAACAAAACTGCAACCTTTATTTTGAAACTCTAACCGGACGTTGCAAGTTTATTTTTGCTAACATTCCTGCAGAGCCCTGTGTATTCAGAAATGACACTAGGGGACGGAAACAGGAAATAATCACAGTTTGTTGATCTACACTACACTATTTGAGCATTTACAGTAATACCATAGACAGTGGTTGCTAGAATATCACAACTGTTGGAGTAAGTGCAGTAAAGTTAGTACAGGTTTGAAAAATTCAAAGTACGTCTATGAGAAAATGTTATCAGAAATTGACCAAAAAATTCAAAATGGCCGACTTCGATGCCACGCCACAGACACCCCCTTCAACGTACATGCACAAATAGCACAACTTTTAATCAGCAATATATTTTGACTGTACTGATCAATTTTGAAGTTGATCTGATAAATTCCCTAGGGGGAGTTCGTTCATATAAAACATGAAAAATTGCCAAAAAATGACAAAAAATTAAAAATGGCCGAATCGACGACACAACGTACATGCACAAATAGCACAACTTTTAATCAGCAATATTTTTTGACTACTGATCAGTATTGAAAACGATCCAATAAATTCCCTAGGAGGATTTCGTTCAAATACAACGCAAAAAAATGAACGACTTTGACGCCACGCCACGGACACACCCTTCAACGTACATGCACAACTTTTAATCAGCATTATTTTTTAACTGTACTGACCAGTTTTGATGTTGGTCCGATAAATTCCCTCAGAGGAGTTTGTTCAAATACAACGCAAAAAAATCGCCAAAAAACGCCACAAATGACTACGAAATTCAAAATGACCGACTTCCTGTTTGGGTTATGGGTCCAAGAAGCTTTTTTTTGCGGCGCCCGGTTAGCTCAGTCGGTAGAGCTGGCGACCCATATACGCAGTGGCCTGGGTTTGAATCTGACCTGCGGCTCTTTGCTGCATGTCATCCCCTCTCTCTCTGCCCCCCTTTCCTGTTTATCTGCTGTCTTTCTATCAAATAAAGGCATAAAGGCCAAAAAATAATACTTTAAAAAAATGTCCCATCATGATACACATGCGTACCAATTTTCATACATGTCGGACTTACGTGTCTTGGGGGCTGATTCTGGGGGGCGGGGCTTAGCCATTTGTAGGTGCCCGGGCACCGGTACAATTGCATACGTGAATTTTCGCCACGTTTGAATTTTGTGCAAATTTACCTGACTTTTCGAGCATGTTGCAGCCGCCAAATATGCAGTCAAAGAGGCAGTAAATAATAATAATTCCTACAATTACAATAGGGCCTTCACACGGTCAGTGCTCGGGCCCTAATAACGCCCTAATAGTGGACATGAGTTACCATGAAATTAAGTAAAATATTTATGTCACAAGTACAAGTATTTATGTCACAGTGTCAATATGCATGAATAAAAGTGAACAGAGTGAAGTTCAGAAAACATCTCCTTGCAGTATGACTGGTAAAAAGCTGTTTATTACTTCCGCCACCACTGCCAGCCGAAGTCTAGTGCTTTATCAGATGCAGATCTGTGCATGACAATGTAGCCACAGTCAACGGGCTGTTTATCGCAGTAAAGAGAAGGGATGGGAGTCGGGAGTGCAGTTGTATTGTCATTTTATTTAGATGAAGTGGAGCGCAGGAGGCCATGTAAACATCATCACACATGAATACAGTTAACTCCACAAGAGTTTGAGCTTTTCAGTCTTACCCAATTTATGAAATTCCAAAACTGTTTATCAACCCCAGTATGCGGAAATATTCAAATACACTAGGCAAATATAACACGTATACTGTGTGCAAATAACTGCACTCGATTCACATATTGTAAGGTCTGAGGTAAAGGGATTTCTTTAATGAAAAGATGATCAGATGAAAAGTGCAGCCTTCAGAAAAAAAAATGCACCACATATGGAAATGGCCAATAAACATTGTCTACGTTGTATAAAATCTAAATTGTTTGTTGAAAAATAAAGAACAGTGTAAACGC